TGAGCACCCCCCCTAGTCATCATGCGTTTTGACGGCTGTAACTACCCACAGGCTTACTTATCTACCCACTGGGCTTGAGCCTTTGAGCGTTACCACCCTGTTGGCAGGTGACAAGCATGGGGTAGTCACGTTTTATAAACTCTTGCATTGAACATTCAAGTGCATGCAGTCGTTCAATTGTAAAAGTCACTTCAAAAATCTCGAAAAGTACTTGAAACTTGTTTTCTTTGTGCGTTGGTTACCATTTATTCAAATTTGAGCCGGTCGAAACAGGCGTGTGGGGGGGGGGGGGGGGGGGGGGGGGGGATGTGGTGTATAAAACGGGAAAGGGGGTTTAATGGCTATGCGAAATGTTATTCTCCAGGCAGGGAAAAGACTCGCACAGCCAAAGGGGAGAGGGAGGGAAAGATGTGGATTGAGATGGGTTGAATAAAATATTTTAGCAGTTACTAGGGGAAAGCGCCAATCAAATCATTTGTAGGGTAGAGGGAGGGGGGGGGGGGGAGGGGGCAAAGCGTTGCTAACACACGGCTGAAACATTGTTCAAAGTAAAGGTTCGATAAAACGCTCAAGTGCCAACAGTCGCTCAATCGCTCTCAACATTCGGTCAATTGCACAAGTGCAGCTCGTCGCCGCGAAGCGGCGACGAGCTGAACCTGTGTAACATGTCGCGCCGCCGCGAAGCGGCGGCGAAACTTGTGTTTCACAGCCGCAGTTCCGCAGTTCTGCCACAACACAGTTACGTTCACTGGAGTTTTGCATCATTGTCATGTCGCAAACGTGTGACGAGATCTTTACCGGTTTCCGAATTGCGCGCGGCAGTTAGAGGCGGTCTGAAATCTCAGTCACATGCGCAAACTCGAGCACTGCACGGAATATGACCCGCGCCCGTTGCTTGCCGCCAGTAGGAAATAGCAGTTCCTTTGTCGTGGACGCCTGTGCTCCTGTCGCCCTTACCGAAGCTAGTAATGTTTTCCGTGCTTTCTCGTATTCCGGGCAGTGCCATAGTACGTGATCGATGTCTTCAACGTCCCCGCACGCAGTGCAGTCAGCACTCAGTTTGCCTAACCTGGAAGAAAACAAATATTACCAAAGAGTACGGGCAACTTCGGTAGACACCTAGTAAAACCCGAAGCAGATAAAAAGTATCGCGGTTGTCCTTTTTGGTTCCGTCGCGGGTTTTACCATGTACAGCAGTAAACAGCTGGAAGCGGGCGTCGTGCTCGAGTAATTTAATAAAATCTCTTGAAAAGCACAGGAAGCTACGCACAGGCGTGAGTTGACTTGAATGTTCGCCGGACGAGGTACTCTTGTCGTCTTTTATTGTGCGGTTCAGTAAAGAGCGTGCTCTTATTAAAAGGTGTGATCAGTCAGTTCTGCGTGCAGGGCCCGTTTGCTCGAAGCTGGTTAACTAACCGTGGTTAACCGGGTTTCCTACGAGGGGGAATTTTGGGTCACGTGACCGGCAGAGTAAGGACGGTGGGGAAACATGGCGGTGCCCCGGTGAGTGAGCGCCGCTCGCTTTGGAACTAAAGGGGTGTCCAAACAGGACACTACAAAACGCACGACTCCGACAAATCTTGAAAATTGAAGCGGGCGCGAAGCGGGCGCGTCCGCTTCAATTTTCACGATTTGTCGGAGTCGTGCGTTTTGTAGTGTCCTGTTTGGACACCCTTTTAATACGTCGTAGTAGCTGCAGTAGTGGGCGCGTTAGTCAGCAATGAATGGTGCAGGAGGTTTTCGCGTTGCCTTACCTCACTTAAAACGCAAAATATGAGCAACGACTTCGCCGAATTTTTTAGATAGACTTTTGACTCTGGCCATTCTTAAGCCTAAATGAACGCGATATTTGTCGGCATGGCAACGTCTTTGGAAATTGGATCGCCTTGACTCAATCGGCCGGGTATTAATAGCACACAAAAGCAGAGAGCGTTTCCATAGACCTTTTGCTAAATTTCAAAAACACCGAGGTGCATGCTACGAGTGTAGTTACACGCACTGCACCTGCTGGCGTCTGCAGTAATAACTGTTCTGAAGCAAAAAGCCTAAAACAAATTTTGCCATGCACGCGCGTTCGTCAAAGATTTATTATGATTATTTACTTCAAATCTTCTATAAGAGGAAGGCCAGCGCGCGCGGCTCGTAGAGTTACACTTTCAGCGTTCTTCTCGATGTTCGGGTAATTTACTAATAGGTCAATTTTCAGTGGAGCCGAGTTACAGGTTTTTCAATTTATGACGGTGTTATATACGGTTCTTACATGCTGACCAACTATGCTGCCGGTGTACCGCCCGCCTTTCACTGCTTACTTCTTTCTCATCGTTTCTAGGACTCAACTTCGTCGTCCTCTTTCGAACTCGGAAGCAAATTTCAACGAGGCTTTTCTTCACTTCATACAGCCAAATATTCAGAAGATTTCCAAACAAGGGTTAATTTAGTTTTACCTTGCCGATTATTTGTACCACGAGCAATAAAAATTGTTTCTTAAGCTCAAATGTATGCCGCGCTGCGTCCCGAAAACAAGGCAGAGCCCATTTTTTTGGGTCCCCCCCCATTTCGGGAACCTTTCCACGGAAGCCACGTATATTCGCTAGAGCCAGTAGGTGACCCGAGCTACCACCCCATAATAAAACACGGAGCTATCGTTCATCCAGCCCTCGTCAAACTTGGCTAGGTACTTGTAGGTACCTAGTAGGGAAGGGTGGTTAACTTTTAACCGCGGTTAAAGTTAACCGGCTTCGAGCAAACGGGCCCAGGTCAGTTGCAAATGGCCTCCTCGGTTCCGCCGAACTTGCACGCCTGTCATATGCAATTTTTTGCTTTCAAGTGCAGTGAAGTATGAAGCATTGAACACCACGACTGAGGCCGGACAGGACGAACGTACACAAATATCTGGTATCATGTCCGTGTATTTCAGTATTTTTCTGTATCGGAATATATGATTCGCCTTTACTGGCTCATTTGGCACATTTCAGCGAGCATACTCGATCAAAAATGCTTTAAACAAAAATGCCTGAAACAAGTGTGTGTCATCCCAGGTGGAGTACTTTAAAGGGAACTAGGATTTCAGGCCTTCCGGCACGCGTTCCTTGTACTTATATGAAAGATTGCAAGTAAATTTCCAAAAATAAGGCGTTGGCAAACATACAAGTGCTATTTGTTTTAGATTTTTTTTTTTCAGAAAAAGTACTGCTGCAGACGCCAGCAGGTGAAGCGCAGAGAACTATGTTCGCCTTTGATGCTTAGATAATTTAGCATACGTCTTTGGCGTTCATTGCAGGTGAAGGCACGGGCCAGAAAGCGGCAATTATGCACTGTCCTCTTAACGCGACCGCGAGCGCTTGAACGCATATTTGAAAGACACGCACTTGAGCAGAAACAATTGTAGCGAAAAAAAGAAAACTGAAACAACGCTTCGGGAAGACCGGCGGACGGGCGTCGCTAGAATCACCTGCGCGTGCTCAGTGTACTCATCGTATACTCAGCCGCCCCTGAAGTCATTCGAATATGTAAAAAGAGAAAATAGAATGCATCAGCGTGTTCAACAAGTGGTGATTTCAGAAATTGGTTTCGATAATTAATACATTTCATTAAACAGGCTTCTCTATCCTTGAAGTGTAGGCTAGCGAGAAAACGAAACTGATCAAAACGTGACGTGTAGCGACTATTCAAATTTATTTATAACCTGCAGTTCACTTCTGCAATGGATTACATTAGAGATACGAGCGCCTCGCTAAGGGCAGTAGAGAAAAATAACATATACGGGTAAATCTTGCACAGTCTTTTCGTATTTATGCAAAATATGACAGTGGTCACCATCCTAATTGGTCACAGAAAATACAGCAGTATATAAGCTGGTGGTGTCGACTGGTCGTGTGTATAGGAATGTAGAGTGTCCAATAAAGAAAAAAAAAGGAATGTAAAGTGTCAATATCTCGTGTTGTACCTTGTGCTGCTTGTGAACGCGGTCATGTATAAAATTCTATGGTGTATGTATGTGTGAAATGTGTTGTGTTATATGAACATTCGTGCATGTCTGGCGAGGCGCTCAAAACAGAAACTGTTGGTTTCTTTTTTTTAGCTTGAGCACTGTCCGTTAGGTGGCGCGTGGCGCCGCCCAATTCAAGGGGTCGCGCGTTTATGTGTCTACTTATTTTAGTGAAAAACATGGAGGCGTTCCTTGGCTCCACGGAGCAGCCAGGGAGGGTTCGGTTCTCGGCCTCTCGTCCCAGTGGGATCAGTTCCATAGCTAGTTGAATGGGTGTTCCGTGCGGTGAATAGCACCAAGTGCGTGCACAGACGCGGTGAGGATTACCAGGGACTTGAAAGTGGATAACGAATGCTAACAGGTGAGCAGGAGCGTTGAAAGATCGGAACCGACGCCGCTTGAATCGGTGATGCTTGGCCTCGCCGCTGTCTATTGAAAACGCCGGATCACGTGCGAGAAGCACAGCAAGCATATGCTCTGTTCAATAAAGACATCATTCCATTCGTCGCTATACGATTCCTTCTTTGAATGTTTTCTGGCCGCGAAGTAAATGCAGCCGGCCGCGCGAAAGTAGTCGCGGACAAACCCCCTCGAATGCCCCCCCTCACATCGTCGCCCCTACTCGTAATAGGTGCGATGCCGGTGCTTTGAGGCGCGTTTTGGAGTGCTTCAGTGCGCACGGAAGGCAGCGAACGGGCGTACGCACTTGAAAATCGTATTTTAGCAAAAAGCAGTCCAGCTCGCTAGGCCTTACTCGTATTGCTCCACTGTCGCTTGCCAGCCGCCATGTTGCTTTTGGGGGTGGTCACTGTGACTATCTTTTGAGTACGTGCCGTGTGACTACCCATGGGGTCGTTAGTATAACTAAAGGGGGGGGGGGGGGGGGGCAGCGATATCTGTGACGGCTTCTGACTACCCGAAATGTAGTACCCTACGACTACCCTTTTGTTGAGAGTGTAGTTGCGAAATTTGTCTTGACGACGCAAAGTGTAATCCCTGCTTCTCCGTCCAGGGCGGCTGGTGGGACCCGCGGCCGCCCGTGCGAGTGGCGCGGTGGCGTCCTCGTCGCCACTCAGCAAACCCGTGCTGGTGAAGGGCCACGCGTCGGGTTCCGTGGCCAGGACCTTCTTCTGTCCCGTGAGCACCAGCAGCCTGGGACACGGCAACGCCCCCGCGGTCGCCGGCTCCACCCCTGCCGCCGTCATCAAGTCCGAGCCGCCGACCGCCAAGGCGAACAACAAGGGTGAGTCTCGGAGCCAGCTTGCTTCAGCTACATGGATCCGGGGTAGTCTCGCCATTAGTCACATACTAGTATATCCTAACTGTCCTATCGTTCTGGGTACATGGGTATACTCTACCTGCCTAGCGCCCCAAGAACGCAGGTATAAACTCCTACTCCCGTACTGCCCTAGTTATATCTGTGTACGATAACTGCACCTATAGACTAGCGAAACTCGATAGACCTTCGCATTGACCTGCTAAAGATAATGAAGGATCAGGTGTTCAGCCATTTACATTTGCACAGCTTGTTTAGATACTTTTTTAACAAAGGCAAGATGATTGTTTGTATACCTACAACCATGGTCGCTGCGCTAGTTCGAGTAGCTTTCCCTGTTCCAATCGCGAAATTAACTTCACGATGCAGCGGACAAAGCAACGCCAAAGATGAAAGAGCGTGTTGGTGACGCAGCAACGAGTAAAATGATTGCACTTTATTATCAAATGGCATGTGGCATCCCGAGAATTAAAGGTCTGAGGCGTAGCGCCCTGAGAATGAAGAGTTTGCGTGTCAAGTTAATAACTGGATATCCTGTAGGAGCGTATACAGTAGTAGTAAATGTCTGAACGCGACGGGATGCGCATAGCTGTGGAGCGTGTTCTTGAACGCATCGCTGAAAGGTAGGTGGCAGCAACGTGCTCGTTGGACCAGTCAACCGCCTGTCTTATGCGCCACGTGATTACTCTTTGTGCGCATGCTACCGCACAGAAAGAGTGGGTCGGTCGGTAAAAGGCAGGTGATAGACTGGCGCGGCAAGAACGATGCTTCCAGCGCTACGACAGCTTAGCGCTGAACAACAGAGTATAGGGTGTTGTCTGGCGCCGTCTGCCGATACCCGAACAAAAGGTTCGACTTTGCAGAGCACTCTTTAAGCGAATATGTTACACGGGACGCCCACGGCTTATTGAACGCGAAAGCGTTGTTAACTAGCCCTAACGCGATAAATACGTGACACCTGAATCCTCATCCAGGATACTGATACTCGGGAGAGAAGCGCCTTTGTTTCGGTACTGTAGTTTCGGGCTGCACCCGCGCGCTTCCTAATTTCCGCGCTTCGTCGTTAATAGTTACCGATTGTGCTGGTCGAAGACGAGATTAACTCGCGCGCAATTCTCGGTATTGAGTTATCTCGCGCGCCACGGCGGCGTGGCCAATGCGCGCGGCGCGATCTCGCTGGGAGGCGTTGCGTCGCTGCATTCCAGGAGGAAGGTTCGCAAGAAACAAAAAGAAAATGAAACAAAGGGGCTCCCTTGTTGCCTTCCCGCGCGGAATTCCCGCCTCTCCCGAGCAACACCGACTTTTCTGGCAGCCGACGCAAGCAGCGAGAGCAGGCGGCTCGGTGGCGGAGGCGGCATCCTCCGTTGCGCTGACCCAAGTCCGAGGAACTTGTGGGGGCGGTGGTGTTCTCCTAACTACAGGCTGGCCCCGGCACTCGTTTTTCTGCCGACGGTGGCGGATGCTCTGGGCCAACCAAATGCTGCTGCTCGTGGCTCCGGGAGTAATCGCTTTTGTCTTTTTTTGTTTGTTTGTTTGTTGTTTTGTTTTGAAGCGTGTATCTACCACCGCAGGCAACGGTTGGAACGAAAGGATTGGAGACCACAATGTGTGCCCTGTTTCGTGTCCTACTCTTTGATTCCTTTTTGTACTTTTGTTTTAGGCTCGAGGTTCGCCTGTCTAGGATCGCGGAGGAACGGTTTCGTATATTGGTGGTCGCTTTTCTTGCGCTTGGGATCGGTCTTCCCCGGTTGGTTCGGTTGTGGTTCGCTGCGATGGCTGTCTCGGCTGTTTTGTTAGGCGTACAGTACGGCGTCGGTTTTGCTTCTTAGGACGTGTTCGCTTGAAGGGTGTCAACGTGTGCGCTGAGTGGTGCGAATCGCCCGCTTTGGCGGAGCGAGGTTCCTTACTTCTATCGTATTACAATCAGACGGCGCTTGCTATAGTCCCTGGCGGCTTTAGAAACGCAGGGGCGTGGTGTCTCTTGTTAGCGCTTCCTGCTTTCTGATTCGGCGTTCTTATCGGTCTAACGCTGCTGTCTCATTGGCTGTGGAGTAATAATAAAATGCTCGGGGGCTCAATACACCCGGCGTTTCTCAAGCCGTCGGTGTCCTGCAATGGAGTTGTTTGCTTTATTAAAATAACATATCTTATTTCGCAAACTAAAATACTAAAGGCAAGGAACCATTTTTGCCGCGTTTGTTGTACGCGCGAAAGTACCGGGTGTTTGTGAAAAAAATAAAAGAAAAATACGAAATGTTTTTGTGATCCGACATGAACTTATGTATAATACTACTACTACTAATAATAATAAGAAGAAGAAGATTATCATCATCATCATCATTATCATTTGCCAATTTAGGTGCACTGGGCAGTACACAAGGCTAGACTGAAAGGCAAGGGTTTCTACACGTGAGCTTCTGCTAACCAGCCACCCAGAGCAAATGAGCGAAGTAAAACCCAATATGTGATGAAGAAATATATAGGAGGAAGGTGAGAATGAGTGTTGACGATTGGGCTAGTTGGTCATTCATATTAGCGGAAAACAAACAGCGCAAGGACAAGGACAGAGTAGAAGGCGGTATAGACACACACAGCGCTGACTTACAACTGAGCTTTATTGGCACTGACAACCTGTATAAATACACAATTTGCCCGGCCCAAAAGCCAAGAAAAGAAGCAACACAACAGGAGGACTACTCGTGTTCCCAGAGTCATCTGCAGGCGCCGTTGTTCTCCGATCTGAGTAGAAAAATAACTCCTTTTACTGGCGAAATTTCTGAGGTTTTAGCCACTTTTAGTAAATGCTTGCAACCACTGGTTATCACGCACTAATTACCAGTAAACGGTTCAATAAGATTTTTAGACCTTAGGCTGCAGTGTCTCCCCACACACACCTGCTGGCTTTATGAACCAAGGAGTAATAAACCCCTCCTGTCGTTTTCGTCTGCCCACTCTAAACTGGTAAAAAGGGGAGTCATCAACATTTGCTTTAAGAACGCCCTTAATACATCCTGCTTTCACTTAGTCAAGGATAGCTTTAAGAATCAAGTAGCGAGGCTCACGGCCGCGGGCTAGCCGTTGCGCCTCTTAACGGCAGTCGCAGAAACTCTACCAAAGAGAAGACGGATTGAGAATGCTGAACAAGTTAACAGGAGAAACAAGAACATCAAAGTACTACCGTACCTACACAAAATATCCCATAATCTGAAGAAAGTGGGACGTCGAGCTGGTGTTCACGTGGTCTTTTCGGCTCCAGACAAGCTATCTATGATGTGCAAAAGAGTGAACTCTCATGTAATAGAGAGACAGGTGTGCACCAAGGAACACCAAAACCAGTTTGTTTCATGTGTTGCGGATGTTGTGTACTCTATTCCCCTCTCCTGTGACCGGAGATACGTAGGGCAGGCAGGACGTTGTCTTAATGAGCGTTTAAGAGAGCATCGTTATAATGTGTCTCAGGTTGTGTCGGGGCACCTTGGGGTGCATTGCCGCGATTGCGGATGTACTCCGTCTTTTGAACGATGCACGGTCATCAGAAAACAAAAAGATAAACTGACACGTGAGATTATAGAAGCCCGCGCCATTGGACAATCGGGCTCTGAGTGTGTTAGTGCCCCGTCACTTGCCTGGACGGAAAAGGAGTGTATTTTTCTACTCAGATCGGAGAACAACGGCGCCTGCAGATGACCCTGGGAACACGTGTAGTCCTCCTCTCGTGTTGTTTCTTTTCTTGGCTTTTGGGCCGGGCAAATTGTGTATTTATACAGGTTGTCAGTGCCAATAAAGCTCAATTGTAAATCAGCGCTGTGTGTGTCTACCGCCTTCTACTCTGTCCTTGTCCTTGCGCTGTTTGTTTTCCGCTAATGTGAGGATGAGATGCGTGAGGAAGGAAGGAAGGAACGGCCGGTAGGATGCACTCTATGCTAGGCCTCAACGCCAGACGCCAAGCGCCACCCTGGACAGGAAAGCTCGAAGCACAAACTAAGTAGGTAAGTGCAGGTGCCGCGCAGTGCCAGGCCGGCGCTCGCGTCCTGTTCAAACAAGAATCCCAGCCGGAAGTCGCCAACAACCCCCGCGCCTCATCCGAATCCCCCGCTACCCCACGACGCAGAAACCCTATCACAAAAGCACCGCACGCAAATAAATATTAGGTGATATCTTAGTGCTGCTTTTGAGGCAGAGGAGTCCAGATAGAGGAGGGCGCCGCGAGGAAGTTTTCGAGGGCATCCAAGATCACCGAGGGACGGTGGTAGATATTTTGTGCGTGTTGGGAGCACAGGTCCTTCGGTTCGTTTATTGAGCCTAATTGATGAGTGCAGTTAGGTAACATCTATGTAGCCGTCTTGGAGCCTGCAGAGGGGTGGAACACGTGCCACAACCCTTCTGTGTTCAAGTGGCTGTGATTTGATTTCCTCTAGCCGCTGTTTGTATGGTGGTAGAGGCTCCCACAAACCAAGTAGGCGATGCGAGTGGCGCGACGCTGTATGCTTTCGAGCTCGGAGGTGAGGTGAGCCTGGGAAAGAGACAGACGGCGCTGCACTACTCCAGCCTCGGCAGGACCAGAGCGGTTGCTTCAGGGCCACACTATCTTGACAACTTTGTTACGATGCCCAAGGCGCGTCTGGATTTTGCCACTGTGTTCTCTATGATGGTGGAGAAGACTAGATATGAAGTGAATAGAACTCTTAGGATAGGAAGTAACTGGACGGCCTCGATCGGGCAATCTGCAATTGAGTATGTGGGGCAGGCAGTGACTGCTATTCGATAGGCGCATAGCGGCACTCTTTCGGGGGCCTGTGCTGAGACCGTTGGGGAGGGCCGAGGCATTAAAAAGTCGAAGGTTGCTCTGGAGACCTGCAGTGGAGGAAGGACACTATATAGGGGCTAATGTTATGGTGTCGTCCGAGTAATATAGAAGTAGACTTCCGGCGGAGTTCGGCATGTCGTTGACGTGTATACATGATGAA